GCCATCCACTCACCTCAGCCTCCCAAAGCGCGGGATTACAGGCTGAGCCACCGAGCCCGGCTCCATTGTGTTTTCTTTACAAGATGTTCTCTTTGGGCTTCCGTCCTTCTCCCCTGTCTCCCTCTCTCTGTCAGCTCCTCCCTCCCCAAGGCCGAGCAGGGCACGTGGCCTGCAGTGTCCATCGCTGACAAGGTTTGCAGCCTTGTGATCCCAGGACACCGAGGCTCGGAGAGGCAGAGTGGCTTGCTTAACATCACACAGCTAGGAAGGAGTCAGGCCGGGTTTGGATCCAGGGCTGTGGCTGCAAGGTCCACCCAGGGTCCTTCTGCCACGTTCTGGCCTCTGTCTGAGGCACGACGGTGGCAGACAGAGCGGGAGGTTTTGTCCTCTGCCCTAAAGAATATAGGATCCTTCATCCACTCAATGAACATTTATTAGGCGCCTATATTTTCTGGGCCCTGTGCTGGGGCTGGGGACACGTGGTGAGGAAGAGCTCACCCTGCCCTTGCGTGTCCAGAGGGCAGCAGGGACGCGCCCCGGCAGTGACACGGCAGGGGGACGGTGCAGGGACAGGAGCCATGGCTCTGTGTCCGGGGTCAGGGAGGGAGAAGAATTCTCCTGGTTGGCAGGAGAATGGCAGTAGCCTTGAGACAGACCTGGACTCTGCCGGGCAGAACCTGGTCAGGTCACGGTCGAGTCGTTCTGGCAGCAAACACCCAATGAGCTTGGGGGCTGTGGACAGGAACAATCCAGGAGGCTCCTTGGGGGAGGTGGCATTGGGCTGGGTCTGGAGGAGGGGGCAGATCTGGATGAAGGCGGCACCCACAGACCGCCGCCCCGTGATTGCTCTCTTGGGAGGCCCCCCAATGCATGTGTGCTGGACGGTGCTCTGGCCTCCCACCTTTCAGAATCCTTCACGCCGGACCACAAGCCCCTGATGGGGGAGGCGCCCGAGGTCCGTGGGTTCTTCCTGGGCTGCGGCTTCAACAGCGCAGGTGAGTTCAGGCGGCACCTGTGAGGGAGGTCCTGACCTTCCCCAGGCTCCCTGGAGGAGGCGGGACAGGAGAGGCTAGGGAGGCCGGCAGGGAGGATGTTCCGTCTGGCTGGAGGCTGTGTAGCACCCAGACGTGAGCGCGATGTGGCGGGCATGTGCTGCCTGTGGGCTGTGGGGGTTCGGGATTGGACATGGGTGGGGACCCTGGGGAGCAAAGCGCAGACCCGTGGCTCCCCTCCCGCCAGGAATGATGCTGGGTGGCGGCTGTGGACAGGAGCTGGCCCACTGGATCATCCATGGGCGTCCAGAGAAGGACATGTACGGCTATGACATCAGGCAAGTGCCCGCCGGGACCCCAGGGCAGGGCCCGACACGGGGTGGGCAGGGTAGAGCAAACAGCGAGGGCTATTTCGAAAGGAGCCTTTCCTGAAATCCAGGTGGCTTCTTGGAAGAAGCGGCAGCATGGGAGGAAGGGAGGAAACTGCCGGCGGCAGGTGGACAGTGCTGAGGGGATGCCTGGGTGGGCAAATCCATGGCCCTTTACAGTCTCAGGGTCTCCCGGCCCAGGGTGCTGCCTGGCCCTCCGGACAGCTCTGGGATCATCCGTGAGATCTCGTCACCCCGCTTTATAGGTGGGGAGACTGAGGTCTGGGGCACAAAAGGGAGCAGGGCTGAGTTGGGATCATGATGAGTGTGTGTGCCGTGGCTGGGAGCCAGGCAGCCCTGTCCCGCCCCGCTGGTCACCGACAGAGGGACCGGGAATGAGCAAAGCAGCCCAAGGCTGAGCGGTCTCATCTGTAGCACGGGAGAATGACGGTGGACCGCCAAGGTGCGGGGCGCAGCCAGTGCGTGCGTGCTGTAGGGTGCTCGGCCTTGGGTCTGCACACAGAGATGCGAAATCATCCAGAGCCAGGCCTGGGCTGCACGCTGTGAGGGAGAACCGGCAGGACCAGTGGCCGGATGGTCTTCGGCAAATCAGGGCCAACTCTTTTGAAAACCTTTTTTTCTTTTTTTTTTGAGTTGGAGTCTCCCTCTGTCGCCCAGACTGGAGTGCAGTGGCCCTCCCGGCCACCGCAGCCTCGACCTGCTGGGCTCCGGCGATCCTTCCGCCTCAGCCTTCCAAGGAGCTGGAACTACAGGCACACGCTACCATGCCCAGCTCATTTTTGATTTATTGTAGAGAGGAGGTCTTGCTGCCCAGGCGGGTCTTGAACCCGCGGGCTCAGGCAGTCCACTCACCTCAGCCTCCCAAAGGTGCGGGATTACAGACTGAGCCACCGAGCCCATTCTTTTTTAAGACGGGACTTCGCTCTGTCGCCCAGGCTGGAGTACAATGGCAACATCGTAGCTCACTGCAGCCTTGACCTCCTGGGTTCAAGCGGTCTTCTTGCCTCGGCCTCCCGAGTAGCTGGGACTGTAGGCGCCACCACCATGCCTGGCTCATTTTTAAATTTTTTGTAAAGACAGGGTCTCACTGTGTTGCCCAGGCTGGTCTGGCATGCCCAGCCTCAAATGCTCCTCCCACTTCGGCCTCCTAAAGTGCTGGGATTACAGGCATGAGCCACTGGGCCCGGCCAGGGCCTGCTTTTAAAGAAAACAGGGCAGCGATACAGGTGCTCCCAGGCATGGGGCAGCTGCTCCCTCTCCCCTGGCCCAGGCGGACCTGGAGGGTGCCAGGCGGTGGGTGGTCCGGGCTCCTGTGTCTCCTCTCCATTCTGAGCTGCACAGCAGGGCCTGTGGCCTGGGCTGTGCCCCGTGCACGGTAGGGCCGTCGGAACAGGGCCATCGAAGCTTGCCCCTGCGCCTGTCCAGCCCTCTCTGCTGTGACGGCTCCTTGGAGGACTCACTCCCTGGGGAGATCCTGGCTACCCCCTCAGGCCCCAGGCAGGGTGGGCTGGGGTGTAGGGGTCAGGTTCAGCTCAGCGTGCCCCCATGCCTCAGGCGACTTTGTCCTTCCTGATCTGATGAGGCCATGACACCCTTGGGGTGGGTGACGTCCGGTCCCCAGGGGGACAGACTGTAGGCACTGAGATCCCCCCAGCTGCAGCTCTCCATGGTGCGTGGTCCAGTGAGGCCTGCTCTGGACCACCTCAGAACCATCTGGGACTGCACCTGTGCTCTCTCCCAAGAAGGTTCTGGAATTTTCCCGAAATGATCAGTGTTCTGGAGTGGTCTGGAAGTGTTCCGAATGTTCCAGAATGTTCTGGAAATGCTCAAGCCGCAGGGGGCCTCGGGAAGTGGGCCAGTCTAAGCAGAGCAAGACGGAGGCAAATTGCAAGAAGTCACCCAGCTTTGGAACCAGAACCAGACAGGGACCCATCTCCCTCCCGTGGGGGAGGGGCTGTCCTCTGTGCCCTGGCCTTTCTTAGGGGCGAGGGCCACAGCTCTGAAACCAAGCCAGCCAGGGCTCCCACCCAGCCTCACCGTGTAGCCGCTCTGGGCCTCACTGCAAGATGGGGCTGACAAGCCTGTCCACCCCCTGGGCTGGGGCCTCGTCCTGCGTCCAGAAGCCATGATGTGTCCCGTTGGTGGTGGAGACCCTGAGGCTGCCCCTGCGAGCTGGGGATGGGTCTGGGCCTCCCTGGGTCAGTCGCCTTCCCTCGGGCACTGGACTTTGGCGGGAACATGTGGTGGGGTGGCCTGTGGCTGGGAGGCAGAGGGCACGTGCAGGGAGTGCCTAAGAGCTGAAGCCCATGGGAGGTGGGTACACCCCCGCTCCTGGCCCCAGAAGCCGCCTGCCCAGCAGCCTGGGCTATGTGCACCTGGACACATGGGCTAAGGATGGCCCCGGCCCAAACGGCCACTGACCCGGGGCTTCCGTACCCATCCAGTGCACCAGAATGGACGGTCACCGGCACCCGGGCCTTTGACATGAATGAGATGTTCTGCCTCCCTGGGTGTGTGCCAGGGGACAGAGGCGAGACAGATTGTCCAGGACAGAGACAGCGTGAGGAGACGGGGTTGCCTTGGGGGCGTCTCAGGACCGAAGAAGAAAGCAAGCAGAGAAAGAGCCGGAAAGGGTGGCTTTCCACTGCCTGGAGTTGTCTTTGTCACCCTGTGTATAAGCCTCAGGAGGTCAGAGTCAAAACACACCAGGTCATGCTGCCATCGACACAAGCTCCCAAGGGCAGTGCTCAGAGGGACAGCCAGTCAGGGCCCGTACGGGGCTCAGGCCTGCATGTGAGGAGGGCCCCAGGGCCCATCCCCAGGCGGCCTCCAGGCCCAGGCAGCTGCCCAGGCGGCCTGCAGGCCCAGGGGTGGTGGAGCGGGTGGGACCTCCCTTTGGAGTCAGACGAATCCCAGCCCCATCCCTGCTCCACACTTATGAGCTGCGTGGCCCTTGGCCAGTCCTTCCTCTTCTCTGAGCCTTGGTTTCCCCATCTGTGAAATGGGAAGGATGAGCCCTGCCTATCCCCACCCCCCACCTGACAGAGACAAGGCAGGGGATAGGTGCGTTATTTTCAGGAAAAGCCCTAGAGGTCCAGATTCGCCAAGGAAGAGCCGCTCCTTATATATTTATTTATTTATTCTTTTTTTTTTTTTTTTTTTTTTTTGAGTTGAAGTCTCACTCTGTCGCCCAGACTGGAGTGCAGTGGCCGCTCCCGGCCACGGCAGCCTCGACCTGCTGGGCTCCGGCGATCCTTCCACCTCAGCCTTTCGAGTAGCTGGAACTACAGGCGCGCTACCACGCCCGGCTAATTTTTTTTAAATTTATTGTAAAGATGAGTTCTCGCCAAGTTGCCCAGGCGGGTCTCGAACCCGCGGGCTCAGGCAATCCACTCACCTCAGCCTCCCAAAGGCGTGGGATTTCAGGCTGAGCCACTGAGCCCGGCAGTTTCTGTGTTTCTAAGAGCTTGTCATTTCAT